GACAGGTCGGATTTAAAGGGGTAGGTTCATGAAGGGTCAATAACTTTAGTAATAAAAATAAAAATTTGATGACAAAATATGTAACCATATCTGACAAAAAACAACAAGCTCTGACGCATAAGAACTATTGGGATGACATTATGACATCATAATTGTTCACTCTAAATAGGAAAATAATAATTTTTACTATTTGTTTTCAAAATTTTAATAGTTTTTGCTGCAAACGAAATTGGCCACATGCAAAGACGCCTAATTTTTTTTGTTAGGTTGTGTATCTGGGCCACACACACTTTTTTTTATAACAATTTTGATTTTGGTCGAAGGGTGTGGCCAACGTTTTTCAGAAGAAAATAGACCTTATGAATGTATAGAAAAAAACAGAAAATCTGGCTTAAACGTTGTAAAATATCATTGTTATAACTAACAGCAGACAACAGGTTATCTAAATTTGCATATTAAAGATCGTAAACAAAGTTTATTACATATGGTATAACAAAGTTTGATTTTTGTAGAGTCAATTTAAGGCCTTCATTGCCATTCCCCTTTATTCAGTTTGTAAAAGAGTCAACCGACGTTAAACATTACTTTAGTAATGCCATGAAGCCATTAGAGAGTTGTTGTAAGGGTTCTTTTACAGCACAGAGAGCGTTACAAGCTCCATTAATTCACGAATTCACACCAACAATATACTAGTATACAACTGTTTAACATCAACTGGCAAATATTACATGCATATGACAAGAGCGGGTTGGTTCAGAAAAATATGTTAACCGTGATTTTAGAATTTAGACAGCTACTGGAATGTACGAGAGTATATTTAAAAGGGAGCAGATGTTTTGCTTTGGAAAGCCATAAGAGAGTTGGGTTCTTTTAAAGCACAGAGAGCGTTACAAGCTCCATTAATTCACGAATTCACATCAACAATATACCAGTATCCAATAAGTAGGTTTTAGTAGAAGGGAAGAAGACTAGACAATATTTATTTAACACTTACCATGGAAAAGGCGAAAAAAACAGGCAGGAATTTCGACTTGCAAAGGACGGACCCTTCAAATCGTTGTTGCAAAGGTTTCAATAATAGTACAGTCAGTTTAGTACTCGACGCTCCATAACGCCTCCCTTCCAGCAATCGAAACGTAGGCCTGCTTTAGCATTTGCTTTTCTGCCAGATTGAAGGGTTCAAGGTGACTGTAACTCTAGCTGAAGTTTGAAGTCTGTTCACATAGACGTAACATGATTAGACAATACACTAACTCAAATAAAAAAAAATGACAATTTTACGGGAATGACAAGTCCCCACTCTGTGGAACTTTTGTAACGACTCAATCAGTTCAACCTTAAGGTAAATTCCTTTAGCAAGTATAAAGATGAAAAGTATTTCAACAATGAAGTTTGAATCGGCTATTGATATTTCATTGATGATATTGTCTTTTCATTACGGATTATAAACTAGAATTCATCTTCTGAACAGTAACCATGCAAATTGTCACATCTGATATATTCAGTCGCCATTTCGTTTTTTTTAAATCAATTAGACAGCTGTTTTGAATTATATATAGTTAACAAACATGAGCTATGTATGTTATATTATGGAGAGGAGGGTCCTCATTTCTGTATTTTTTAATTTAAGACCGTTTTCTCTATTTTCAACTCCATTATTTTATATATTCATATTTTAGCACCTCAGCATTCTCTATTTTTTGTTTGTTTCATAATTTATCTTTTTTCTTTCTTATTTGGTCCATCATCTCTAATCTCCAAACTCCAGCAGACTTTCTTTTAGAGTCCTTGTTTGTACGTATTTGATAAGAAATAGAAAATAAATTGAAACATCCAATTATTAACACCGTTACATCATGTACATACTTAATATAAATTCTAATACAAAATTTCATACTAATAGTTATAGATTTATAAATATGAGAGTTAAATGTCTTTTACAGATATATACACAACAGTATCACCTGGTGTTTTTCAAATTATAGATTCATACGTGAATTTGATTATTCAACAGTTGGAGAATTGTGAACATCGTACGCCGGTTTCCTATAGCCATTTTTCCGGGAGGGGGACTAGATGAAGCCAGTTCCTACTCCCACGGAAAAATTGGCATGATTTCACTTTCCCCCTCAGCGTGATTTGGGGTGGGGTGGGGGGGGGGGGGGGGTGGGGGGTGGGGGGTGGGGTCAGGATCAGGCCTTCCCCCTAGTAACGCGAGAAGCTCGTTTTCCCCTTGTAGAAACGTCGGCGACGTCAGTTCGAAATTAATTATCCATTAAAAGATAGTAACCATGTGTTTATTGATTAGTCATTTCTCAATACCAGATAAAATTGAGAATGGAAATGGGGATATTTATTTATATATAGATAAGATATATAGTCTGATGTATTGATCACATCCATTCTCCTCCGTGAACACTCGGGTGTGTTAAGTGACTTTCTGTCCCATGTTCTAGTTGAACCCGACATGAAGATGGAATTTGGCCGGATGGCAACAGTTGTTGTAGGAATGTTTGAAACTTATGATAGTAAATAGTCTCTCTCTTGTTTATTAAATTTGATGACATATTAGAAATATATATAAGGTCTCCTGGTTTATCTGTATATATAGAAGATGTGGTATGAGTGCCAATGAGACAACTCCACATCCAAGTCACAATGTATGTATATAAAAAGTTAACAATTATAGGTCAAAGTACGGCCTTCAACACAGAACCTTGGCTCACACAGAACAGTAAGCTATAAAGGGCCCCAAAATGACTAGTGTAAAACAGTTAAAAAAGGAAAACTAACGGTCTAATCTATATAAAAAACGAGAAACACCTATGAACCACACCAACAAACGACAACCACTGAACAACAGGCCCCTGACTTAGGACAGGTGCATAAAAATGCAGCGGGTTTAAACATTTTAACAGGCTACAACCTTCACCCTAACCTGAGACAGTAACATTAAAACATAAAAAGACACACTATAAAATATCAATTGAAATGGCTTAACTCGATCAAAACGACATTTAAATTAAAACAAGTAAATAGTGTTTGCTTTAGAATAAATCTTGACATTAAGGAATTTATCTCCCTCATGCAAAACTCTAATTCCTTGCCCGGCTTTGGCTTACTTTTTTGTCCTTTTTGGTTTATAGCTCTTCATCTTTTTAATAAGCCTTGGATTTTCAAATGTTTTGGCTTCGAGCATCACTGAAGAGACATTGATTGTCGAAATGCGCATGTGGTGCAGAAACATTAGTACCGTTTAGGTTATTTGAATGATAATCTCAGTATTTGCTGCAAGCTCCACATTTCTAACTGGTATACAGCGACATTCTAAACATATTTAGTGTAAAATTATGTCTCCTGTAGATATATATATATATATATATAGGTCCATAATTCTATTTCATTCAAGCACAAAGCCCTTTAAAGATATTTGCACCAATAAGTAATGTGACTTCGATGTAAAAAGTATAACAAAAATACCAAACTCTAACTTGAAGGTAAATGCAAAAAGAGGAGGTCCATAAAAACTGAAAAAATCGGACTTTAGACTTTATCAACGAACGGAACGAATGGAAAACAACTGTCATCTTCCTGATGTTGTACAGGTATTTTCCGTAGAAAATGGTGGGTTAAACCTGGTTTTATAGCTAACTACCCCCCCCCCCCCACTTGTATGACAGTTGCTTACAGTTCCGTAATATTGCCTATTTTAGGTGAGCAACCCAAACAGACATAATATGTTAATGTTACAATAATTTTTTTGATCCAGCAGCCAAAACTGTAACGCATACTGTCGGGAACAATGAGATAAATAATTCTATGAATCTCTAGTGTTCTTGTGCTACCCCTTTCATTTTTAACGTTCACGCGATCGGAATCAATGAATCTAACATTTGAAGATTTGTTTATATTGGATATTACCTCGGGCCATTTCTAAACGAAAAATCTACCCCTGTAAACAGGTAAACATTTCCTAACGAAGAGTTTGGCATATTTTTTACAGTTTGGCATTTTGTTTTACAACGTCCATACTTCTGTGATCTGGTATATGCGCTACTAATTTTGTGCTGTTTTGTTTGATGAATCCGAAATGCTGACACTGGTCACATGATCTTGTATATTCCTTAATACAGGGTTGCATGCTTTTCCAGTAATAAATATGACCTATATTAATTGCATTATGTGCGGCTTTCCATCCTCAAAAGACCTTTGTAGTCGTGTGTTATACGATATTTGATGTATCCAAAAGAGAAAATAAAACATCTTCAGAAAAGATAATATATGAAATGAAGTACTCTAAAAACAATTTGATATATGAATGGGGGTATCTGTTCGAATACAAACTGCACCCCTGTAATAAATAATCTAAGAGCCCCAACCCGCTCCCTTAACCAAAAGCTTTTAAAAGTGATACGGGTGTCGATAAAACGACCACAATGTGTACCAAACATCTCTTCTATGCAACCCAAGCCGAAAAACAGATTATTTAAGCATTTCAGAGATCAACCATTTCTTAAGAATAAGTGGAAAATATATATACAAAAACATTGTCGTACAATTTTGATGTATACATAATTATATATAGTGAAATCCATATTGTGGGGGAAATACGGGCATGGGGGAAATGGCTATATAACGGTGAAGATTTGTTTAACAAAATTTTTATGATATATTTCATCCAGCTGCATAGAAATTACTCCTACATTACAAAAATATAAATAGATTAAAAGGACAAATAGTGCGTGATATAAATAGAACATTGTGAAATATAGGTCAGATATAAAACCGGGATGCCCTATTAAGATTTTCTGAAAACCTCGTATCCAATATTTGTTTAGCAAAAGACATTTTACACTTTGTTTGTTTTTGCATTTCTACAAGACATAAGAAAACAGTATTTCAAAGATTTTCCCGCTTACAAAGTGTTTTTTGATATATAAATATAGGTAACCGTATACAAAATGAATAACTGAAACTGAAAATAAAAGTAAAAAACTGCATTTTCAAAAATTCCCAAATGTATGTCATATTGAGGTTTCAGATACGATACCTTGCACTTTCAGAATCAGAGTAAAATTATGCTTGTTTCTACTTGAGAAGTTTGAATATAAAACCATAATGCTGGGTCAATTACTTCATTTATTGAAAACAGCTTTAAGAAGGTTGCATACTAAGAGGCAAACTGCAAACAGCTGGATTTATTACAATGGCTACGTGGAAACGCGCAAAATGGATATAGAAAATTGTGAATCTTGTGACGAAAGGAGGTCTAAAGAAATAGATCATTCAGAACTTAAACATGTTAAAGAGGAATGGACAATTCAAAAGTGGTGCAACATCGAATGCTTAAAATTACTATTTTCGTTTGCTATATTACTGATCAATATCATAGTTGTTACACTTATGATATTTAATTTTAAACTTTTGGAAAGCAAAATGAATAGCAAAAGTGAAATGCAAAAATATCAATATAATACAAAAACGGACTTCTGTATTCACTTTCCTAAAGGCACTAACAATCGGAGAGAACTTAACAGCCGGATGTTTCATTGTTTAAAGAATTCACAATACTTGCGGCATTTGTTTGATATGGTTAGTATTTATCTTCATAAGAGAAAGTATAGCCATGAATACATTTCGAAATTAGTTTAAGTTTCTATACCAATCAATCAATGTTTCATTTTGCGACAGACATTTAAAGTATTTTCCGTACGGGCACATGTTACCAGCTTTGTTTTGTGCTTCTACTGACATAACAATGTTCGGATTAACATTCTTACTAAAATCGAAACCTTTTTTTAAAGAGAGATAACATTTGACCTTTAAATGTTGATATGATAAATTATCCAGCTTGTGATATATATACATATATATAGAAGTCTATAAAAAGGACCAACCAGCAAATTTAATATGTACCGGATCGTCTAAAATAGACTATACTGCGCAGATAAGGAAAACATTATATAAGTCTAAAGATGGTAATATACGAAGATCATGTTAAAAATTCGTGTTGACAAATATTTTGGCTTAACAAATAGCCTTCGTCAGTGTCAATGATTTTAACAATACGTTGTTAAAATTACTATTGTTAAAATTATTGACACTGACGAAGGCTATTTGTTAAGCCGAAATATTTGTCAACACGAATTTTTTAACATCATCTTCGTAAATTACCATCTTATAATAGTACCGTTGTGCAAATCTTTAGACTTATATATAGATATATTTATATATTCATAATCATTCTAAATATCAGCACAACAATGTTAAATTTGCAAATATATATATATACTATACTAAATTCTCTCACATGTCATGTAAAAAGGTAGGAGGTGAAGATGAAAGCGGACTTTTTACAAGTAGAATTCTGATAAATTGATTGTTACTTGCTTACAGTCCGTTAGCAAACATTGCATGCATATATATTATATACTTAGGACGAGAACAAAGCAAATTAATACAAAAGATGTGTTTTGCAAAGCAGTATGAAATAAGGAGATGTGGTATGATTCCCAATGAGACAGTTATTCACCAGAGACTAAAAGACGTAATAGGTAGCAACTATAGGTCATCGTACGGCTTTCAGCAATGAGCAAAAACCATACCGCATACCAAGCTATAAAGGGCCCGACCTAATAAAAATGTTAAACAATTATAAAGCTGATCAGGATGAAGGCTAGGGAATTTGAAATTGCACTGAACGGAAAGAGAAGTTACTTTTTTTTAGTATCATGAATAGTGGCAGAAATTTTGGCTTGCATCATGCAATCTACGGACTCTTAGAGGGTTGTTGATTCTTTTACTTGTAGAGAACGTGGTACTTATCCTACACGAGGCATCGGATATAAGTATTAACATACCCATTCCGACAGGACATGGCTGCCTATTTATACATCCTGCACAGCTAAACGGATGCTCCTGTTAAAATGGGTTTTACTGCCGGACGATCGAGATAAGGCCATTGATGACCGTATTGCTTGACCCAAGTCAACACTAGGTTTTAAATTCATTATGCTGCCACCAATGTGTTGTTTCATGTTAACATTGCGTTTCTACTCATCATTAAGTAGTCCGACAACATTTATTGTACTATTTCTACTTTGTTTGAAATTAAACCTTTTTAGGAGAACACTAAAGTTTTGTTATTTATTGCAGATGGCTCTAAGTTCAAAACGACGATTAGTTCCTTATTCAAACAATACCAATGTACAACAGAGAACCGTTTTCCATGAATATATACAAGGACAGAGTTCCAGTAAAAACGGTAAATAAAGTGTTTATTTTTCATGTTTTCCTACACTGGATCCGCTTGAAATTAAATCTATATGTTCAATGAAAAGCCACTCAGAACGGATTCACGTAAGAAAAAATGGTCACGTAGTGTAAAAGGCTATATAGGTTCTGCGGAAGCAATATATAAGCAGTAAATCGGTCGACTGTAAGCACATATGCGTGTGTAGGAGTCAGTACGTAGCACATTAAGAAACTAACAGATCGGAAAATTTATACGTAAAAACCACCCTGGAATTCTTATATTTAAAAAAAAATTAATTCAAGATATACCATTTGTTTTTGTCGATAACCGCTACATATGTTATTGATAGAACATACACAGAATTGATAATAGCATGAAGAACTGGTAAAACTGTCCTACAATTTTATCATCCCTCCACCCACCCCAAAAAAAAAAACAAAACACAAAAAAAACTCTCATCAAAACAAACAGAAAATCGTACAACAACAGGAAGATGTTTACAAGAAACCCTAAAGAATACCCCCCCTCCCACCAAAAAAAAAAAAAACAAACAAACAAAGAAAACAACAAAAAACAACAACAAAAAAACAAGAACAAAACACACACAAATTAAACCTGCAAAAATTACAAAACAGTAAATGGTCTTGATAAATAAATTTAAAACTTCAACTTTGCTTAAGGTAAGTTATTATGTGGTATTAGAATTAACAAACTATAAGTAGAATAGACTTGTAAAAATGCATATTTGACTGTATACACTAGGTATGCCACTAGATGTGCCCGTAGAAGCAGCCTTACGTAACATATTGGCCTGTTGGGCATATTGTTTCTAATTTGAGTTATCTCCCGTTTACCAGCAAAAATCCTCAGCTAAGCTATAACTTATATAGATTATATGTTTTATTTTACTCTGAAATGATATTTCCTATGCTAGAACAATTGAGGAGAAAATACCAGTATAATAGATATAAATACCCAACACACGAAATCACAGTTTAATTAAAATCTATGGACTAGAAAGATGTCAAATGGTTTGAGTATTATCTAACTGGACGGAAACAACTGGTAAATGTAAATGTGACGGAATCTCAACTTCTTAATATTATTTGTGGTATACATCATGAACGCATTTTAGGTCCTTTGCTTTTTTTTTAATTTTACGTCAACAACATATCTATAAGTATTAATTCTGACTGTAAACTCTTGCTTTATGTCGACGAAAGCACTATAATACTTTCTCATAAGGACGCAGAATTTACCTCGAGGAAGTTAGGAAAGGCATAGTCGTAGCAAATCACTCATTGACAATAAGCTATCTTCAGACTTGGGTAAAACAGAATGCATTATCTTTGGTACGAAACGTGAACAAAAAAAAGTAACACATTTTCAAATACAATGTAATGACCATGTAATTAAATCACAGGCAAAACTGAAATATCTAGGAATAGACATAGAACAACACTTTATTGGTGAAAATACAGTGAACTCAATTATCAAAAAAGGTAAAATTTTAGATTAAAATGATTGTATCGTAAAGCAAGATGTTTGTCAACTGAAAACCGCAAAACTATTTCTTCGTTTCTAATCCAGTGTCACTTTGACTATTCCTGTTTCCCGTTCCTCTTGGTATGTCGGAGTATCACAAACTCTTAAACACAAACTTCAAATTGGCCAAAACAAAACTGTTAGATTAATAAAAGATCTTGGTCCAAGGTCTAGTGTCCAGAATTATGAAGTGTTGGATTTTTAAACTTTGAAAATAAAGTGAAGCAATTAAGATGAAGACATGCATATAAGATAAGATCTTTAACAGTACGTGTTCCTTATATTTAAAAAACGATCTTTAACAAATATAATAACACTAGATCACGCCATTTCAATTTTGTTGTTCCTATAAAGTTAACAGAGTGTACTCAAAATCTTGTTTCCAAATAACATAAAGTTAATACATGACCAGGACGCATTCAAAGCTGCAGTAAAGCAGCATCTGAATAATAAGTAAAATTGTATCTTTATTTGTGATTTAAATTCAATTAATGCCATGCATCCTCTTAATTTCTTATTTTTTCCATCTAAGCGATATACACTTGAAGGACCCCATTCAAAATAAGCGGTAACGCATTCATGGGTAATCCTTGGAAGAATATCAACTTGCGAGTGCATTTTAGAATTACCGTATTTGTTTTCTTTCAAAATTTTAATAACTGATATTTTAAAACTGTACTTGTATATAGTTGATTCCTAAATGCATTTTATCTTTATCTCTTTATCAAAATTTTACTTCATGACAGAACGTAAAACAATTATTAGGTTGACCAGTATGACGTCTAGGTAAAATTATGCATGGAAAATTGATTTATGGTGGATAGAGACAGAAAATGTTGTCTTTTAAATTGGAACAATGACATTTCAAAGTAGCGCTGACAATAAGGATTAAGTAATACCAAACTTCTTCCATTTAAAATATCGAAAGAGAAAAGAACAGTCAGAATATAATTTGCATGTATATACTATTAAAGGGCATTTGTATCTTTTTCATGCACGACGATTAAAAAAAATAATGAGTTAATATATTCTTCCTTTTCTTTAGAAAATGCAGAGTGTCCGAAGTTATCAGGAGAAGTAAAGCTTCGAAGTTTATTAACAAACAGGAAATCTAATACCAATGAATTAACAGTTCAAACTTCTGGCCTTTATATGATCTACGTACATGTAGAATTCCAAAGTCTAGACCGTTGTCAGAGGTCGCGGAATGAAGTTAACATTCAAGAAAAAGGACATTTAATCGTTTCTGATTCAATAGGGCACAAAGAGGGACCTCTTGTTTGTCAGCCAAAAGTATATTCAGTCTTTGTAAAGCTGAAGGAATCACGCTCTCTATCGGTCAACATCCCAGACACGAGCTTTCTTGAGTCTCATTGGAAAAGTAACATGATCGGTGGCGTTCTTGTGTCGTGATTATTTAGTTACTATAAGGACACCTCGTTGTACATAGTAATGTTGGTAATAAAAATGAATTATGATGTACACTTCAAAGGCAGCAAGGTAATTTAGGAATTGGACAAATAGTTTTGTTTCGTGTGACTGTGACGTTTGTTTGTGGTGCCATCTTTTAATAGAAGGATTCTTGTATGTTTTGTATCTGGGAATGTTTTTCCTTTTTCATCAATAATTGTAATATGTCACCTCACAAAACAAATCTGCGAGAAAGAAAGATGTTCAGAGTTAACAAACGCAATATAATTTTGAATGGTAATACATTCATTAGAGGTATTCCCGTAACAGTGTGGACAACCGTAGTACTTTTGTTGTTAAAAATACTGAATCATTTACCTTTAACTTGTTTGTCATCGGCTATCGATAACAATGATTTTACGCTCACTCAGTCTGTCAGAGGCCTTCCAGTGGGGATTTAAATAATCACTTGTTACACATTTCGATACATAAAATGAAACTCTTTTCACAAAACTTTAAAGGAATTTGTTTGAAATATTCTTTATATCAGCACACACAACAGTTTCATTTTAGAGAAAAATAAATGTTCAGAGCTAATATCATTAAATAATCGAAAAATACATTTACACATATGGATTTTCATTGTAAAAAATTTAAGTCGATGGAGTTAATTCACAAAATATCGCAAGAGAAAAAATACTCCCACGTTGTGATCATTTAAGAGTAACAGTTATTCAATGCATATGATTTGTTTGTAAAAAGAGTTACGGACGATGAAAAAAAAATCATCTTTTAACTGGATAAATTTCACATGGATCATCGTTTGAATCATTCAGTCATACAGAGAACTCGTAGGATTAGTTTGCCTTGGATATTCCAGTACTACACAACTCAATTGCCTCTATTTATGTATATATCTATATGTATATTTAATTAATTAAAAGACCTTTCTGTTTGTATAATACTTTTATGTAAAGGGGAAACTGTTACTGTGTGTGATCCTTTTTGTTTCTTTGACTATATCGTTAGTCATAAACTAAATTGCAGTACTCGTCGATATATCATTCTTGTATCACACGAATTTGGGTCTTTTACTTACAAAACTTATTTTCTTGTAACGTTTTTTATTGTTGAATAACGAATGTTGCCCGTTTTTTAATTTTTTTGTCGTTTGTTTGTGTCTCAACCGGATCCTCTTTTCTTCATATTTAAAAACATACGAGATGACATCAATACCAATTCATGACACAAAATAACAAAATTAAACTAACAGCAGAAGAAAGAAAAGGAAAAGCGCTTTCATGGTTGGATTGTACTAAATCTCGAAGTCACAATGTGGCCTTTGATAAAAATGTTGTAAATAAAAAACATTATATTTTGTCAGTGTTTTGTAATTGCACAACTATTGAAAGTTGATCATGCATTCGTTCTAAAATAATTTTTTTATGTTTAAAGAACGTGCAAATATCATACAAAGTGTTTATAAAAACATAACAAAAACGCAAGTAAAGAAAGTTTAAGTATTCAATATTAATCAAAACACAAAGGTCATTCCTGTACTAGTTTTTTGAATTATTTGATTTAGGCTTTGAGATCCTTTGGTGACCCCACAGTTTAAATGTCTATAATAAATACGACGTGATAAGTGGGCGTTACAAACGAACGTTCACCTAATTTTACCCAGTCAATGGTAGACTTGAGCGCGCCAAAAAATGGTCTCGTCCACACTGTTATGAAAACGATACTATATGCGTTTCGGACATGAATTTAATTCAACTTACTGGTCATGTGAAGATATGATTGAAGCTTTAAATTTTCTCCTGGACAACATGTATGTACGTTTCGGCGATAAAGTGTTACTAATTGCGCCCCTTTAATAGCAGATTTATTCCTGTATTGCTATGAATCACAGTTTATGACCAAACTCAGTAAAGATACGTCATTGTTACATTTGGTTGACATATTCAACAATACCTGCCGTTATCTTGATGATATTTTTTCGTTAAATAATCCAGAGTTCTCTAAATATACTACCGAAATTTACCCAAAGGAACTTACTTTGAATAAATCTAACATAAACAGCAGTAATTGTGCCTTTCTAGATTTAGACATTTCAATTTCTAAAGGGAAACTCCATACTAAAATTTACGACAAAAGAGACGATTTTTCATTCCCTATTGTTAATTTTTCTTTTTTAGACGGCGATATTCCTTTGGCTCCATCATACGGTGTTTATATATCCCAACTCGTTCGTTATGCCTGTGTGTGTAGTGATGTCATAGTTTTTAACGAACGTAATCAATGCATCACTGGTAAATTATTATGTCAAGGATTTCGTTACCGTAAATTACTTAAAACATTTACTAAATTCTTTCATAGATACAAAGATTTGATTAGTAAATTTGGCTATACCTGTGGAAATCTTATTAAAAACGGTATTTCACATCCTAAATTTTACGGTAATATTGTACTTAAAGCGCGGAAATCACTATATGATCCGTGTAAACTCATCGAACCTTTAAACAAACTCATTAGTTAAGGTTATCTTATTAATGTTGTAATAAGATCTTTGTATATTGTTTATATTGGCACAAATACCGATATAACATGATACATATTTATTATATGGTTAAATCCTAACTATCCTACTGCCTGTCGATACTTTTATTTTGGCATTGCACAAGTCATGTCTTCTTTGACTGTCCATGGCATTAAAATACTAAATCCCTGGGATGTGTTTTAATTGATTTTAGTCTATGATGCATGATTTTTTATTGTTTATTGTTTTTGGCTTTTAATTAGCTTTCAGTAACTGCAAGCAATCTCAAATCGTACTTTCGTGTTAATTTGACCCGTTGACACAATTTGTAATGCATTTTTGTTAATCAATGTTTACTTATTTTGTGTTATATCTCATCTCACTATTTTAGATATGTACCACCTTTGATAAGTATTTAGTATGACGATAAATTCTCACTTCTGTACTCGTACTGTGAACAACAAATGTATTTATTTTGTAAGAAATATTTCCGTTCTCCTAACAACAAAATTATTATATTTAAATTTACCTGTGTACGTTATTTTATTTAACGTCATTTTGTTCCAGGTTATAGTTGTCTTTTTGATGAATCAAGCTCTCTATCGATCAACATCCCAGACACGAGCTTTCTTGAGTCTCATTGGAAAAGTAACATGATCGGTGGCGTTCTTGTGTTGTGATTATTTAGTTTTTATAAGGACACCTCATTGTACATAGTAATGTTGGTAATAAAAATGAATTATGATGTACACTTCAAAGGCAGCAAGGTAATTTAGGAATTGGACAAATAAATAGTTTTGTTTCGTTTGACTGTGACGTTTGTTTGTGGTGCCATCTTTCAATAGAAGGATTCTTGTATTTTTACATTATTTTATTTAACGCCATTTTGTTCCAGGTTATAGTTGTCTTTTTGACATTGTTTTAAATAATTTTTATTAATATTGTGTCATAGATCAAACTTATTCGTTCAGTGTATGTTTACTTGTTTTTTGTCTTTTTGATCGAGTTAAGCCATTTCAATTGATATTTTATAGTGTGTCTTTTTATGTTGTAATGTTAAACTACTGGTTAGTGTGAAGGTTGGCGCCTGTTAAAACGTTTAAACCCGCTGCATTTGTATGCACCTGTCCTAAGTCAGGAGCCTGTTCAGTGGTTGTCGTTTGCTGATGTGGTTCATAAGTGTTTCTCGTTTTGTTTTTTTATATAGGTTAGACCGTTGGTTTTCCCGTTTGAATTGTTTTACACTAGTCATTTTGGGGCCCTTGATAGCTTGCTGTTCGGTGTGAGCCAAGGTAGCGTGTTGAAGGCCGTACTTTGACCTTTAATTGTTTACTTTTTACACATTTTGACTTGGAGAGTTATCTCATTGGCACTCATACCACATCTTCTTATTTCTATGAAATGCCAAATATCATTTGGAAATTTTACATTTTCCATGTTTAAGATGTCATGGCAGTGGTAAGCACAAAAGGTATAAAGACATTATGGGAAATTGAATGACGAAAGTGAACGCCACGACACATGATGTATGGGGACATACAAATAGATTTGTATTGTTAAGTCTTCATTTTTTTCTAAACACCGTTCACGATTTTTATACGACCGCAAAACATTTGCGTTAGTATAATGCTATCACGTCGTCGTCGTTGTCGTCCGAAGACATTTGGTTTCCGGAAAATAACTTTAGTTTAAGTGTATGGTACTCTATGAAAATTAAGCAAAAGGTTCAATACCACAACAGGAAGTTAGGGATTGTTTTTGGGGGTGATGGTCCCAACCGTTTAGGAATTAGGGGCCAAAAAGGGCCCAAAACAAACATTTTTCTAGTTTCAGGACAATAACTTCTGTAAAAGTATTTTGATTGCTCAAAAATGGTATCAATACCACAAGCACGGGGGTGGGGGGTTGTCTTCCTATATGAAGGTATATACATATGTGCCGCTGGAATGGGTCCCTTTTTTGATACGTCAAATATATCAATGGGGTGCAATTTTACCGAGGAAATATATCAATAGGTAGTAATTGATCAATTGTGATATATTTAGGTACTATTTGAGCTGATAAATATATGAAAGGGTTATGATTTCGCTGTGAAATATATGTATAGGTAGGGATTTCACAATTATTCAATATATGAATGGGGGCTGTTTTTTAAATCCCAGCTGCACAACTGTACCCAAAATCCCATGTTGAGACCCCCTCGTGACCACAAGTAGAAGGTGGGATTCATTTTGAGGGTAATTGCCCAAATCTGTTCAGGAATTAGGGGCCAACAAGGGGCCAAAACAAGCACTTTTCTAGTTTTCAGACAATGACTTGTGTTTAAGTGTATGGATGTCTCTTAAATTGTACCACATTTTACAAAAAGAAAATTTCTTCAAATATTGTAATGCCGGCTTTTCCCCCTTTTTATAATAAACCTGTATAGTTTCTTGAAATTATTGAGGATAAACGATAGATGTTAGTGATATGTCTAATGTTGCAAGTAATGTCAGACTTGTAATTTGTTATTTTGGCTGTTGTTTCAATGATACGACAGATTTGTGTACGTTAGTTTGTTAAGAAGTTTTAATCCACGAACTGATTCCATATTTTCGCGTTAGTTACCTTATTAGAATATAAACTCAAATAAAACTCTTCTAATGATCTACTAATGTATTTAAAGTCAAATCCCATCTTTATTGATGAATATAAATCCATGTTTACAAACAATATCAAAATTAAGGGAATTTCCCTTGTGTGATCCATGGTTGCCGATTGGTAAACAATATTTAACAATCTCTGCCATTGGTCAGTCGAAAGTATATAAAGGCAAAAACAACAACAGAACCGAGAGAGTGTTGGGTTGATAAAGAATGGGAAGTGACAAACTTTAATAGAAGCTGGAATATGTCTGAGAAATACAGACGAGCGTTGAAAGTTAACTTTGTTTTAATTTAAGATTGTCGGTGCCGGTGACGGTGATAAATACGGTTGCCGGTACCGGTGACGGTGACGGTGACTGTGCCGGTGACGGTGTCTTTGAAGTGATATTGAAGGTGCACATTAAGTGTTCGGTTGGCGGTTCCGACATGATTAATATGTCATTTAATTTGTTATACTAAGTTGTTGTCTTCTATAATGTAGTAGGGTGGTAATATCCTTAAATTGAGATTATAGAAAGATTCTAAATAAGTGACAACCTTGTTACTTGACTGTTGAATTATAGACTAGTTTTGTTTGTATATGTAAGACCAACCATTACCGGGGACCTGGCCAGACCAGTGAGAGAGCCGGCAAGACCCATCCTCTGCGTCGTGGATTATTTTTGATATTAATAAAATATGAAACTTTATTTTATTCAGATATTTTATTCCACAACTGAGAATATATATATAAACACAAGTATACGATTTCCCTTTCTGTAACGTGTTTTGGTCCGACGGTAAACAGTGGACGTCGAACATTACACTCTATAGATCATTTTACTCTCTTTTTCTTTGTGACCCTGTGTTCTCTGGTGGCCGACTCTAGCACCAGGGAGGCAGCGTTTCAATATTATCTTTTTTAGGGGGAGTCAATTTTTTTTCCCTCAAGAATTAAGAAATTATCAATTTTCCCAAAACAAAAATTGGGGGTCACAATTTAATTTGCTAATTCTTTGTATATAGTCTGAAAACAGATTTACTAAGTATTGCGCAACAGCACAGTGTAGTGCACAACAGCAAGAAATCTTTAATTGACTATAAATTCAAATCACATAACCAATTTTAAGTTCTTTGACTACATTTATTCTGTGTCAGAAACCTATAATGTGTCAAATATTTAGTTACAATCCAAATTCAGACCTGTATCAAGCTTGAATATTGTGTCCATTTTTGCCCCAACTGTTCATGGTTGGACCTCTGCGGTCGTATCCAGCTGCGTTCGGCGAAGCAGATTATTATACTTAAACAAAATTAATGATTTTTGAGAAATCAATTTGAGATTTTGTAAAGTACATTTGTAAGGTGCCATGATAATGATAATGATACCCTATGTTATTGTATATATTAAGTGAAATTCAGGTTAGAGGAGAGGTCATATTTTTCTCTATTTTTACTCAGTTGTCTTTAATTTGGAGCACATCCATGTACATTAAGTCAATATGATGTGAACAAGCAAACGCGAAGCGTATCAATGCATAGATGTTAACACCATACGATGTAACAGAGGAATTTTTACTACTGAGAAATAGGAAGTTGACATTTGTAAATTTGAATTCGTCACGATTGTCAGAAAACTCTATCTAGGCCAATTACAAGAAAAAGCTCCAGATATGTAATCGACTTTCTAGTTTCAGTAGTCTCCTTAATTTCATGTTCACTGTGACACAGTAGATGCATGCTCTGTCTAAAATGAGGGTTAATAAGTGACAGGACATCATCAATATTTTTGGACGTGAAATTAAATCACTTGTAGATGTCTATTTTTGTGTCTTTGAAAAGGTCTTGTATGATTTCTGCTTTATATGATTACATAACCATGTCTACCAGTAGGAAGTGCACACAACAACTCATTTATAAACCGACTGATTGTTGAAATATAAGTGAACGAAACTGGACAATTATGTGACAAATCAATTCATAGTCCAGAATTTTAAGATAAAGACGTCGGTGTATTTGTTAAGGTTTATTAGGATAAATGCATTTACAACGAACTATTTCTTTGGACTCCATGCATTCATAAACCATTTATATTATGGATTCTTAGAGTAAAAACCAAAAAAAAAATTCATCAAATTCGAAATGGTTTCAATAAATCAATAAATGTTGTTTTTGGAAAAGCATTTATTAAATGTTTAATACACAGTTGCCAAAACAGATCTGACATACGGGAAAGGAATTGTTCTGTCTAGATAAATATATTAGGTTCAGTCAATATGCCGCAATGAGATTACTTTACAGAGCTTGTTTATAGTATAACAGAATGAATCGAAAGGAAAATCGGTATATATGGAGTAAACATTTATTTTCCGAGCTAATGTGTTTATTTTGAATTAAATTGAAAAAAAAACAAAGAAAATAAACGCTCTGCAAGATTGAACAGACTTAAACAGATCGCAATCATAGTGTGTGGACAGTACTAAAAGAATCAAAGTCCAAATGTAAGAAAATTCGCCGAAAGACTGACTATGATGGTTATGAATGCTTAATATGTAGGTCAACCTTTTAGGATAATTTCAGGTCAAAATGTGTGTTTACATTGTAAACTAATTCCAAGTGGAGTCGAAATATAATTTTTATTCAAGGTAGTACATCCAGTAAAGTGACAAGTTAAGATTAACATTATATTATGCATCACATTTATTAAATTATATGTATTTGTGGATGTTCCTTGAATTTGACCTTGATCACTGACGGTTTTGTTGACCTTCGAGAACACGCTTTCTGATGTCATTTTGTCCTGATGTGTTCCTACGACGATTTTATTACATATAAACACACAGTCGTTTTTTGTTTGTTTGCTTTGTTAATGATTTTTGTTCTTTTTTGTTTTGTTTTAGTTTTTTCAATAGAATATGTGTATATCCTATCAATAGACCATAGGGAAAACGGTAGTATTTATTCTTCCATAGGCGATAATACTAACATTTTCTAAAATTACCACTTTTTATAATAAAACCTGTTATGTGTGGCATTAATACTTTATTATTCTGTTTTAGAAATTGAAGTCAAATAGTATCATGACCATCTTCCAACGGAGCTTGTTTATGGTATCCATGCCCACCGTCATTTTACCTCAAATTTATGAAACTTTGGAGGAGTTTTCGAATAATTCTCAAGAAAATA